TTCCAAGTGAGGTGGTGCAGGCTCCCACCCTGGGGGTTTTTAAGAGGAGGTTGGATGACCACCTTACTGGGGTCATTTGACCCCAGTGCTCTTCCTGCCATGGCAGGGGGTCGGACTAGATGATCTGCTCAGGTCCCTTCCAACCCTAGAAACTATGAAACTATGAAACTTATATAGCAAATGAAACAAGATTCTGAACTCAAAATATGCGAGGATTTAACGAGAAACAGTTTCCTAATGTTTTGTTTTAAAAATGCAGTTGAGTCTAATCCTTCTCTTTGTATGCACCCAGGCATTTCCATTGAAATTTGTGCATACCTCAATTTGGCACAAGTAAGAGACTGGATTCCTGAGAGGCTAAGGGATGGAAAAACAGTACGTATTAGAGCCACGTGAAATCTATCTTAGTATACTCTCTAGTAAAAATCCAATATTTTGCAGGTTCACCTCAAATATTTGGCCATCTTTCCAAAATGAAAAGCATTTTGTTCAGAAAGACAGCTTGCTAAGTGTTCATCTGGTCACCATGAAAATGTGTTACTGCCAGCAGAAATGGAAATATTTTGCCCTTTCTTTAGATACCAAGATCTTCTGAAAATGTCAGCTCTTGGATAGGAATGCAATATGTTCTTGCAGAGTCTTAATTGCCAGCCAGTATTAAAGTGCATAACCAGTAGGAGCAATTTAGGAGAATACCAAATGTGGCCTATTGAGATTCAAAAAAATGAAACATTGTTGCATGGCCAAGCTAAGGAATATGGCAACAGTTATTACTCAGAGTTTTGTGCATTTGTAGTCTAAAGGGAGCCCTGACAGAACAAAAGGGAAAATGAATAATGTGCATCTGAGATGTAACGTAAAAATAGTGACTAAACATATTAATGTATGTGTTTATACTAGCTACCTTCACAGATTCGCGCTCGTTGAGACTGCCCAGAATTCTTACAAGTAATGAGTTAATCTGGCATGCCTAAAATTTTGCATGCCTGCCATGAAACATTTCGGAAGAGTCTGAAATTCATAAGGTAAATGTCCACTCTCTGAAAATCAGACTTTTCAAAATCAGCTCCAGAAAAATCAAGCCAACCAAAATCATCAGTGACTCTTGAAACATCTTTTCCCCAGAGTACCGTTCCTTATGTTCTCCAAGTAGAGCATACAGGCCCAAAGTAAGATGTATGACTTCAGAAATGGGAACAAGTGGTCTGGCTCACTGAAAAGCAGGTCTGTATTTTGACACACTTGTGTCAGCTCCTTTCATGCAGTGCCTGATTTAAACATTGGCTGCAGACCCTCACTTTAATGAGCATTTAAATCCATATAGCATAATTGAGCTGAAAAAGTGACACACAATACATGTTACTTTTTTGTATTAGTGTTTGAAAATTCTATTTTCAGATATTCGTTCCTCATTTGGCTAACCTCTCCTGTCAGCACACAACTTGAGTCATCCACTGATGTTACTTCCAGCAAAATGATGAGGGATATAGTTGACAATCAGACAGCAAAGTCAAAGGTAATCAAGGTGTGGATGAATTCAATTGGACGTCAGCAGCCTTGTGAACTGCAGGGTAAGCAGGAAATGAGTTCAGCTTCTTGTTGACAGACACTTGTATTATATTCATGTCATGGTTATGTATGCATTCTGTTCTTGTAAACAGGCTGTCAGTATTTTGTTCCAAGTGGTGCCAAACACAGTAATAAACAAATACATAGACAGATGCTAGTATTTGCTGCTGTTCTGAAGTCTCTGCCCTTAATAAATTTCGGTTTTGTTTTTATGCGTTTCTTTCTTTGTCGTTCCCCCCCAGCCCAAACACACAGTCTTGTATGTTTCATGCATAACGGAGGCCAATTTAGAATTAGAAGCAGTTAGAAATGGAATAACGCAGATTATTTTCTTCTGAGGTTGTTTTTTTGGATCCAAAGGGTCACTCACCATTGTGGCTGCACACGTGAAATGTATGGAGTTTTGCAGAAGTCTCTGAATATGGTTGAAGATATGTACAGATGGGTAAGATGGTTCTATTCAAATCTTTAGAGGGGAAAGAGGCATTACAAAGCGACTGGAAAAGGGATTTTTCCTGGTACCAACATCAAGCATTCAGAGATTACAGTGATTAAAACTATGAAGGGGTATAGATTTTTTTCATCTGTAGATGTACTATAATTTGGGTCAAATAAATGCCTGCTGGAATCATAGATTTATTTGGAACACTGAATTTGTATTAACCCGTTGAAAGACACAAGCATACTGCAGTGCTCAAACTATACATTTATGTATGGGCTAACAAAACATTAAAACTAAGCCAGTCCCAAACTGTGCTGTGACATGCTTTCTATACCATGAGTTCATCCAAGTGTCATCCCTAAGTCTTGATGCTGTGGTCTCTCGTCAACTCATATCAACCCTTGCAAATTTCAAGGTAATTTTGGATACCATTTGACAGTGATTTAAAAGCTAATATATAGTAATGTTGATGCAAAGTATGGCCAAAGTTGTCAAATGCAACCAGTGATTTTTGTCGGGCAACACGGAGCTGGCAAGCCAAGCTCGCGGTGTTGGTCACGGTGGTGCGGCCGGGTGGTGGCAAATTGGATACGGACAGGTGGGAGTTTTGGCGATGGAGTCTGAGCGGCACAGGAAGCGTAATGGTTCCTTAAACAAGATGGAATTTATTTAACTTACGCTTAGATGCGTAGGAAACGATGTCTTCAGTTACAGTGAACAAACAGGTGAACAAACAAAGGGGTCTGTTGGCCCACAGGGTTCTCCAACAAGCCCTTGCTTTCTACCTCTGACGAGGTAGGTGCGGCTGCCTGCTGGATAGTCCTAGGGCTGGTCAACAGCTCATAAATTGGTAACACACAACGAACTGTAACGATGTGACGCCAGTCCAGTAAGGACAACGAAGAGCCGAAATGGTGTCTGAAGCAGAAGTCAGGAGCCAGTGAGACGAACCGAGGATCCAGCCAGAGCCAGTGAGGAACGATCTGAATCGATGTTGATAGCCGATGCCAAAGGTAAGTCGAAGCCAGGAAATCCAAACAGCAATGTAATAACAGCAAAGGACACGGAATGCCAATCGAGGGAGGAGATCAATAGGCCCAGAAGCCTGACTGAAAGACAGTCCCTGGAACACCAGCCTCTGTCTCCAGCTAACGCGATCTCTCTCCGATCTTCCCCCAAGGGAGGGGCTCACAGAACTTTTATGTGAATTTAGTGGCCAATCAGAACACTCAGAGGGAAGAAATTTCTAGTCAGATTACCTCATGCTTTTGCTGTTGCTGAGCATGCGTCTGTGGGGAAAGTAGGTCAAACATGACTGACAGGTCACCCAGGGGGCACGAGCTGGGTGAGCCTTGGAACTTTCCACTTACAGACTTCAACTGCGCATGTCAGGTACAGAACTTTTGTGTTGGCAGCATATACTTAGGATTTTTCCGAGACAATTTTGTATGCCTCCTGGAGCAGAACTTGGCCTCCAAGGGCAGCCATGACACCCCCTAGTTGTCACTCGACTCCTGCCCCGACTCCAGGTCCTTGGGGCCTCCTCTCTTCTTTCTTGCCTGTCATGCCTTGATGTAATTGTTCTTAGTGTGAAAAGGAGGCTGCCCAAGGGTCCCAGAGTGAGCCCAGTCCTTGAGCACTCTCAGTCATGGCCCTCATGGCCTTATTTTTGCTCCAGGGCACTAGCCATCTTTTGGGCCATTTGTGGCATCTGTCCACACCTCAAGCCATGCCCGTGCCTTGCAAATGTTACCCTAGATCAGGGGCAGGCAGCTGTTTCAGGTGGAGGGCTGCTTAATGAGTCTAGTCTAGTTTTCTTACATTCTGCCTTTTTCTGGTCCACTGACTCTAAATAGGTAATGCAAAATGGAACAGCTTTGACATGAGGGACTGAGGGGGCAGTAGCCTGCTGGTTAGGACACAGGCCTGGTAGATGTGGGTTTGAACCACCACAGGTAAAGGAGGGAATTGAATCCAGGTCTCCCACATCCTGTATGAGGCATCAAACTGCTGAAATTTATAACATAAAAGGGGAGGTACCTCCTCAATACGAAAGTATTGAGCCTGATTTTATTGAATTCCTCAAACAGAATTGGCAATGTAACTTGTAGCTTGTGAACCCTAATAGGGCCGAGGCCTGAGTTAGAAGCTCAGCTTCTCAGTGCAGAGATTAACTCGTTGCTTCTTGTCCTAACCTCAGTATCTAAGGAGAACAATTCTTCCATCCTCCTTTTTTATGGCAACCTTTGAAAAATATAATACTTCTTAGGCTACCCTTTCATCTTTTTTTCTCCCAGCTTCTTCCACCTCAGGTAACTTGCTTCCCAAACCCCTAATTCCCTTTGTGGTTATCCTTTGTATCTTCTCCAGTTTATCTATAGCCTTCTTAAAATGCAGAGTCCGGAGTTGGATTAGTACTTTAGTTGGGGCCTAATCAGTACTGAGCAGAGTGTTACTGTTACTACCCACATTTTGATATATGTCTGTTAGCCCAGTGCAAGAAGCATTTTTATCTTTTTACCCTTTTTTTTTGCAACAGTAAATAGACCAATCTGCATTCACTGTCCCCACAAAGTGAAAAAGAGAAAACAACAAGCACAAGCAAAGAAAGTAAGCTTGTTTTATTAAAACAAACCCATATAAATAATCTACGTTGTGCTAAAAAGTCAAGCATTGTTCTAAAAGAAGTACCAAGGGAAGAATCTCCTTCTCTCTCAAATGTTTTTACCTACTATTGATACACAAGCTTTAATTAAGGTAATTATCAATGAAAACAATTAGCGGTTAAAATACACTTTGATTTTAGTATGTTAATTTTTGTAGTATGCTTCACCGCTTCCTCTGTGTAGTCAATAAGTCAATCACCTCTATTGTGTTTGTGGGTTTTTTCTCCCACACAGCCACAAAGGAAAGGGAAAGATTTTAGAAATCTTTGACTGCAAATTCATAAACATTTTGCAGGGCACTGCAACAGTATGTTTTTCCTCTTGTCTAGTATTACTGCAATAGACTAGGACTTATATTTATTTCATCACAGTATATCCAGCAGCTTAATTCTACAACTGCCATATAAGGTAAAAGCTGTACATATGCCAATGGTAAAGAGAGGAGAGGAATAAAAAAGGAAGACACACACATAGCTACAAAGCAAAAGCAATTGGTGTGGACTATTGACATCATTATTCTATTGGGTGTAAAAGGAAAATAATTTTTACAATATCTTGGCTGTCTTTTGTTAATCTATGACAAGTGATCAATCATGTTGTTGCTGTCTCATTAATCAACTAATAAGATGATTCTCTGAAAGATCAGCATATCTGTCCTACATGCACAGATAAAAGATGTTATTTCCATTGTTGTATATCTTGATTTAGAGGTACATGGTTGTGTAATGGACCAGATAAACTTGAAAATATTCCAAAGGGACATGACCAAAGATTCTGGGGAGGGGGCACAACAAGTGAAAAATTACTTTTGTCTTGCAAGGAAATAAGAACCTCATTAGGAATGTCGACATTGTGCCACAATGATTTATTACAAGACAAATCAAGGGAAGGTTGGTGAAAGTGTTGTACAGTTAACAAATCAAATGACTCAACTGCCAATTACAGATGACTTTTCAGTCCGACTTGCCATTTGGTACAAAATGAAGTGGAAACCCCCACAGGCCTGAGCAGGGATCCATTAGCTAACATCTATCAATCACTCTTCCTGTAGTCACTCAATAGAGCAATCGAAAATCTATGGGCTTGAGCTGCTCTCTTAACAAAGCATAAATCAACTGTCTTTTTTTCCTTAGTATGACTGCAAAACAACAACCATCTTTTTCACCAAAGAAAGGGGAGGCTTCAAAAGGCCCACAGCAAGGAAAGGCCAGGAAAATTTTACTGAAAGGAGATAAAAATCTAAACCAATAAACAGCTTTGCTGCAGTATTAGATGTATTGCTCCTTCTGAGAAACATCTAATAAGTTAAATTACGTGTGTAGATTTCACATGTGTAAAAACTGCATGTGTGTGCAGGGTTACAGTAATCACTGATTTAGGAGGAGAGTTTTGAAATACTGCTTCCAGTTGTCTAAAGAGGTCTGGGAACAATGTATCCAAAATAAAATTAAAAAAAGGAAATTATTCTTCCCTTCTGTAATTTAACCTCTTTCAAAAATGGGCATATGTGGCATGGAAATCACTTATTTTAATAACACTTTTAGATAAGAGCTTCACAGAAAAAGGTAGGGGGATTGAAAGGCTCTATGCAGAATACTGTAAATTATGTTGTGAGATTCAGTAAAGGTTCCATATTAAAAGCTGGATAGCATTTCTACTTGGATGAAAGCCAGAGATTAAGCATGGGGTCTATGCATCACTTAAGAACCACTGAAGCCCTTCAGAGGGAAAGAAATCTGAGTTTCTCCTGAACATCTTGTTATGTTCCCAATACTTGGTTGAAATTCCCCCATGTGCAGAGGATATCATTAAAACTTAAGCACTACACAGAGTTCTCTTTGAAGCCATTAAGAGCTTTGCAAGGTGCATTCTCATTGGGACAAATCCAGAGGAAGGACATAGCAGCTATTATTTTTCCCCATGAAACCATTCAAAGGGAAGCATATCAACTTGAAACTTCTGGGACAAGGGAGAGAGCTTAAGTAAGAGTTAATGGTGCATAGGTGGGGCTGCACCACAGGGGCTAATTTCACCTACCTACATGAATGGGTTTCATTGGTTTGAGGTTTGTTTGTTTTAAATATCAGCCGATTAGCCAGATT